CAGCTGTGAAAATTGTTTTGGAATTTCAAAAATAAATTACTATCAGGTAGAAGGAGCCACCAGTTTGAATTTTCGGGACAAGTAAATTCAACGTTTGCTAATTCTTAAACCAAAAGCCGATTGCCTATCGTGCTATTCTTTAAAAGGTACTTTTTAGTTTTAAGAGCACTATAAATTGTTTCAAACCTTGCTCTGATGTAGAATGACTTGTTCTTCGACATTTTTAAAATATCCCATGGCAGTTTTGGTTCAAACTCCTACTGCATACATTTTGATGGATTGCAATGCATTTCCAACGACTTTTACTGCTGCTCGTTGCTTCCAACTCAGGAAAAAAGTATTGAGATTGGACGCTACCTCGTATCAGAGCTCAGATAGAACTGTCCAGCGCCTTTGTTGAAAATGAGCACGAGCGACAGTTCTGAGAGGAATTCGCGCCTCACCCAGGGGGGACGAATAGATAGCGTCAGATTCGACCTTTATTTCAAGCCAGAGCCAAAGGCAAACTCCAGAAGACGAGTTTGGAACATGAAGAAAGTAAAAGAGCAGTTAGGTGATGATGTCTGTCACGACCTATTATTTCTTCACGCCATTTTGGGATGCGACACCACCTCCCGCGTACATGGCATAGGCAAGGCGGCAGCCTTAAAGAAATATGCCAACTCGTTGCACTTCAGAGAGCAAGCAAAGGTTTTCAACTCCCCTTCCACAGTCGATGATATCGTGGTAGCAGGAAAAAAATGCGCTGGTATCCCTCTACGGAGGAAAACCTGGGGAGAAACTAGACGGCATGCGCTACCAACGCTACTGTGAGAAACTGGCGACCAATAGTTCTCAAATACAGCCTCAGAATCTTCCTCCGACGTCAGCAGCAGCCAGGCATCATAGCCTAAGAGTGTACCTGCAAGTGAAGTAATGGAAAGGCGAAAACGAAGGCATGTCATTGGAGGACTATGGATAGAAGGTGACGGAAGGCCAGGTACTCCCTCGGATGACTGACCTACCAGCCGCACCGGAGTCGCTTCTGCAGATGATAAAGTGTAACTGCTCGTCAGATTGTGCCAGCGCAAGATGCACCTGCCGTAAACATGGTCTAGAGTGTTCACCTGCATGTGGCCAATGCAGGGGTACGGCGTGTACAAATTCTCCAATCCAGTTTGACGAAGATGACAGCCAAGATGAGTAAACGTGTAACGTGGAAACGAAAGCACGAAAGTCATAAAATAATCTGAGTACCTTGTGAAACTTTATAAGACAGTACTGCGGGAGTATATTGTATTTTTGAAAACATATCTTCCTTATCTGTATGTTTGAAAACGAGTCGGTTTTAGTAACTGCGTATTGTTGAGCGATAACGAAGTGTCATAGCCTTTCGTTAGTACCGACCTCTCCGAGGGACAAAAAATGAAATTCTGTATGTCTTTGAGTAAGAAATGTTAATGAAATTATTTGACTTATACATGATTTAGTGGAGATATCTACAAGATGAAAGTTCACAGAACTGCCTGGAGTACTATTAATCAAATTTGGAAGAATCGGGTGCAGTTCTGGCGATAAACAAGTAGAATAAAAGCAACTTCCGTTTCTTAACCTCGTTTCCATGTCGCAGCAAAGCGTTAGTTATTAGCCATTTAAATTTTGACATGTTCCCGTGCTTGGATCCTTTGGGACTTTTAGCATGTTAATCTAGAGACCATTCCTAAATGATTGGCGAAGAGAAAGGTTCTGTTGCAATTAGTGGCAGGTCCAGCCACAAAATAACTGGACTATTATGCAAACATCCCATACGTACATACGTACAGTGTAGCGAAACTCTTATCATTTCCTGTTCCTGTGTATTTTTACTTCCGCTTCCCTTCGAATTGAAATTTTGGTTTTTCGAATTCGAATATGTGACGTGACGTTAAGTTCAAATTAAAGATTTCATTTGGAATTTTGTGGAAGATTATGGTTGCATTGTTGACGATTAAGACGCTTATTGGAGTGGAGAAGGTGAATTGAAGTTCAAATCATGTAATTTGCATTTTAGTTGGAATGGTGATTTGAACTTCAACATCCGCGATGTCGAGTTTTCCGTTTATAGTTTCAACTTGTTCAAAGTAACTTCAAGTTCGAATGATGCTATTTCGACTGCGTTCATTGCGATTTCAAATTCATATGACGAGATTTCGACATGGATAGTCTAATTTTTGAACTTGAAATTATATTTCATTTTCAATTATTTTTGTCCGCAAATGTACGCCATAGACCACGACCACGACCACGACCCCACAAGCGAAGCGTCGCTTTAAATACTTATCGTGTATAAATAAAGATTATTGATTGATTGATTGATTGACCACAACACACAATCGCTTTTTTATTTTTTTCTTTCACCAGTGAGTTTTACCTTGTTTTGAAACGAAACTCCTCTGAGTTGATTGCCATGAAACTGATAAGCTTAATTATACTGTTGAGGTTGGCAGCAAGATGACAACTCTATTTATTTTTTCATTCTCAGAATCAGAGAGCGAAAGCTGGTTCTATGGCTTTTAGAAATCGAACTTTTCATGCCATGTATTTAGCAGTTGGAAGTTTCGTGTTTGCATGAGATGCAGCCGAGCCGCACAGTCTGAAATTATTGAAGTCTTCAACCAAAGAAAAACCATGTAAAAGAATTAAATGGGCATTTTCTTGAATGAAAGTCATTTATAGGCATGTTTAGTTTCCCGGCACTGAAAACTCCGAGTGTTTGTGACTGCAGTCGTCAAAGTCGAAGTTGTTATTAAATCCCGCCCATCTTTTGTTTTGAGTTCTTGTTTTCTCTGATAATATAAAAATTATTAAACGGACTAAAATTTTAATTCCTGGTTTTAGTGTTAATGATAATGATGACGTCTTTATTTTGGTTTCTTTCATAAGTATTGTTATTCTTTTCTTAGTCGCCTTCTCCCAAATTAACTTATGCCAAACCAGAAGCATGCAAGAAAGCCAGTAAAAACAAAGTCGTCATGTCGAGCGCTCGCGACCTGCAAACTTCAAACATCGTTTTCACCGTTGGTGCAAACAGATAACCATGTGGTGCAAAAGTTTGACACTAGAAAAATATATAAGCTTTCGAATGAAGGGATTTTTTTCGCCCCCTTTTTTGTCTGTTTCGCCCTTTTTGCTTTTAAACTTGGTGCGACGGCGATGTTATGCTTACGCAATTGATTTATATACTAGACCGGAAATAAAAAGCTAACCGGATGTCAAATTTTCTGCTCATGCGCATTGCGTTTTGCCGCGGTGTTGAGTTAGTTAACGTTGCAAGGGTAAAAGGCTTGAGCTTAGCTTACCCGCATGTGATACATCTTGAAACTCTAGATTTAACATTAAAAGTTTTGTACGAGTTCTCCCCCTTTTCTTCAGACGTTTTCCCGTTCCATCTTGAAAATTACCCAGAATGCGTATTGAGGACAATAGGCTGAGCGAGAGGGCCCTGGGAAGACACGAGTTCCCAGTACCTTCTGGGTAATTTCAAAGATGGCGAACGAAGTTGGCTATCAATGCTGAAATTGTACCTTAATCAATCCGTTATTCAGTTAAGGGCTAAATGTAACGAGTCTTTATGAATCATGCCTGGGTTATGGTTGCCAGTCTGACTACAATGTAGGCCATACAGGATGTCACGTTGAACCAATGTACAGATCTTCTAGTACGAGGTAAATATTTATAAGAATTATTTATAAGAAATATGGACTGCAATCAGTATGTGGTGTATTTAAAGGATTCTCGATTCTGGCTACATCCTAGCCTTTCATTGATGATTGCCAGCTAGAATCCTCATTAAGCTTCATCAGATTATAAGATGATACGTATGCTACTACTCTTCATACATGTATGTCATAAACATGCCGCTTGCATGCATTATATTTCTAAAGTAATTAAACTTTCCATTACAAGTAAACTTTTTTGTAAATCGTTAACCAGCTTTAAACTAAAAATTTAATATTCTGGTATTATGTTTTTGTATTTCACTCTAAATTTGAGATTTGTTATTTTAAGCCAAAAATTAAAAACAAATCATAGGATAATATTTCTAACTTCAAATGAGAGATTCCAAGCAAGCTTGACTTTAGAGTGTTTCTTTGTCTCACGTAGAAGTGTAAGACTAAAACTTAAACTATTTTATGAAAACTTTTTCGTGAATTCACTGTTTGTGCTTTTAGTTAATGTCACTTACTTTGTGGACCAAAACACAAACAGTCAACATGGGATTTGTAAGACCCTGTGACCCCATGCCCCTGGAATTTCTGCCATGCTTAGCATTGAAGCCTTTTCATTAGGCAACGAGTTAGTGCATGTTCAGGCTGTTCCTGGTAGTTCCATTGACAGTCCAGTTGTGACTCCAAGGCATGACAATGTTAAGTAAGAAAAACCGCATCAACTCTTTAGTGGTGAAATACCCTTACCACAGAGGCTATTAGAAATTCCAGAAGGATGTGATTGGTCAATTGCATATTTTTTAAAGGTAAAAACCCTGTTTTCCTTAAAAATCACCATCTTTTAAACTTTTAAAATTTGTATCCTTTGGGATCTTCCCTTTATGGAGTAATAATATTGTGAAATTACACTGAGAGTAGGATGAGATATTAAAATTGGTATCCACTTGGCAGTGGTGAGATTGGGCGAGTTTGTGCGAGATAATGCAAGTTTAGGCGAGTTAAGGCGAGATAAGGAAATTTGAACATAATCTCAAGTTGCGAGTTAGGGCGAGTTAAGGCGAGTTAAGGTCCCAGAGTACAGAAAAGACCAATAGATGTGCTTTGAAGAAGCGTCAAGAATTGAAATTAAGATATCATTTACCAAAATAGCTAGTGTATTGGACAGAGGGGAAATCACTGGATGGTGCAATATTAGCTGTTGGAATTAACAAATGTCATGCTGCTGGCATGGAATTAATTACACTCATAATGAAAAAACTTTGTTCACGGTTAAGTTGTTCATCATCAACTGAAAATAAGTCCCAGATTTTACAGAAGCCTTGATTCGTAATATCTCTTTGTGTAAACAGATTTCTTACAAACACAGAGGAACTTGTTGTTCCAGATAACGTGATTTGCAATTTTGTGTACTGAACTATGTTCACTTGCGTTTAATTCTGATCATGCAACAAGACATTGCCTATAGAAAGCTGGCAGAAAAATATTTACATGTAGTTTAAAAGCATCTAAATTATAATGCAGTAAAAGCTTCCCACGAACAGGTTTCAGAAGCTCTCCTAAAAACACTTTCCTTGGACTTTAATAATCCTCTCAAAATTTTTGTAAGCATATCACTCGCTTGGTGTGAATCATGGATTCAGTATCAGGCATATTCAAGCCACCATTCTCAGCTTCTCTGTTCCAGATAAAATGATAAAAGACTGAATGAACTTCTTTCATGAGATACTTAGAGATTGAAATAAGTTTAAGTTTAATAATTCTTTTTACCAATGTACAAAATAAAAATATATATACATATATAAGAGTACAATAGGTAAAGGAAAGCAATAGGAGGAAACTGAATTCCCATATAAAAACTGCCCTCCAAAACGAAAAGATAAAACAATTAAGAATAGAAAACTAATACATAACAACTATACATCACATGATACTAAGAGAAAGAAAAAAAACAACAACAACTAAATAAACTACTTAGATATTAAATAAAAAGGAAAATCCAAATTCATTAGGAAATAATAAACATATGACTATTTACAAAGATAATTAAAAAATGAAAAATTAAAATAGTTTGTCCTTGCTGCTCTGCCTGAGTTTAAAGTCATGGTTTCTTCTAGTTCTTGTCGGGCCAGTCAGATCTACATATGTGGTATAATCACTATCAGAATAGCCATGAATTATCTTGTAAAGTTGAACCAGGCAAAGGTATTTTCTTCTAAGCTCCAATGTTGACCAGTTTAGTTCGGTGAGCCTTTCAGTGTAAGAATATTATGAGATCCACATGTCAATCGAGTAGCACGACGCTGAATGGATTCAATACTGTGTATGTGTTTAACCAAATATGGATTCCACACTGGGCAGGCATATTCCAGAATAGGACGAACTAAAGCGATAAAAGCTGTTTTGACTGGCACAGGATCTTTAGACCCAAACGTTCTCCTTATTAGACCCAATACTCGATTTGCCTTACCAACAATGTAATTGATATGAGCCGATGCTTTAAGCATAAGCTTAGGGATGGCAAGGGTTTTAACAGTTAGTATTCTGCCTATAAGAATCGCTCAATTGCTTTCTTAATTGATTCCAGAGTCTTGAGCTGTTCTCTTTTTTCAGCATCTGGATTCACCACCAAAATAAGCAACTAGAATCTTGATGGTGTCACAAAGATTATTCATATCCAAATGCCCTTCCCAGAGAGATCCACTATTTCCTAACGCTAATGCTTTGGTTTTATCCCTTACTTTTAACCCTGAGAATGCTCCAAAAGCCCTCAGGGTGTCTAATAGGATTGTGTAAGACCTATTGTCTTTAATGAAGCAGGTCATGCATATCATCCGCAAAAAGAGTGAGTTTAACATTTTTTTCCCCCATCCTAATACCTTGAATGTTATTATCGTTTCTTATCTTAATAGCTATTGCTAAGACCTCCAAAGCTAGTATGAAAAGATAGGGAGAAAGAGGATCCCCCTGCCTTACCCCTCTACTTAGAGAGAAAGGTCCTGGAGTAAAACCATTATTCATTACAGAGCTGGAGGCCTTATTAGAAAAGACTCATACCCACTTCATGAAGAAGGACCAGAGTTAAATGCATGGAAGACTCTTAAAAGGAAATTAAGATTGAGGGCATCAAAAGCTTTCTCAAAATCTATGGCCACTAAGATCCCTGAAATGTTCTGTTCATCGTATGGTCAATCACATTGTCAATTTTCTGATGGCATCAAAAATGTCGTTGGTAATGATTTGTCTCTGGTGACATGAATAGCTGTCAACGTAGAGATAGTATCTTTTATTATAGGTCAAACTGTATAAAGGTTACCTGGATCTCACTCATAAGGCATCTTGTGACTTTTTAATGGACAAAAAACAAGATCATGGACTACACCCTAGCTCCTCTGTAAAGGTCTACCGTAAAATTCTGAAAATAAACCCTCCATGTATAAGCCCCTCCAAATATAAGCCCCCCAAAGCGGTAATGCAAAAAACCCTCCCTTAAATCGCCCCTCCAAATGTAAGCCCCCGGGGGCTTGTACTTGGAAAATTGCCCTCAAATACGAAATAAAACAAAGCCAAAACGGTAAATTTACTTCCAACTATAAGGCTAGCCCAATCGATTTTGAAACACAAATTTCCCTCCATAGATAAGCCCCTCAAAAAGGGCCTCTGAAAAATATAAGCCCCGGGGCTTATTTTTGGAATTTTACGGTATCTGAAGCTGCAAAGCTCTCGGAAACCTCTATTTTCATTGCATGGCCAGTGAAAACACACCTACTATCTATTTTATGGAAAAAAAAGGCCTTAAAGTGGGTGGTTAAATTGTCAAGGTTGTAGGATAAGGAAATGACTGGACTTTTGTTATGGGCAGAAATATGACGTAATATGGGTATATGGCAAAAATTCTACTGTTCATTACATTGTGCTAAAGAGATTTCCTTTGAATGGTCACACACTGTATTTTTGACAAAATGATTGCTGCGGAGCGACCGAAGGGAGCGAGCAGCAACATAATCAGGATTTAAAGGAAATATATAAGGGGGGACGAATTCTCGAATTCATCACTTTTTACCACAATGCATTGCATTTAACCACACTTTTTACCACAATGCATTGCATTTAACCAGAGTGCATTGCGCCACGAACAACTCAAATAAAAACATGGGGAAGTTCGGTGGGTGAGAGTGCATCGTTCGCTGCTTAGACTTAGAGTTTTCTTTGTGGCAAATTTCTACAGCACGGTTAGAGGTCTTACCGAACTTTAAGACACGCAGGAGTCTTTCAGATGAGTACGATGGTTAACTTGGGGATTGGATTTCAATTCAAGAGCCTTTGACTCGTCCTGGTAGTAAACCTGACGAGAAGATGAGCATTTGATCTTCGACTCCGCAACACGGGGGATATACAAATTCCAGCTTGCTAGAAGGTGATGTGAAAGTGAGAAAATGTCATGCAATGCTATTCTTAAGAAACTGTATGAGCCGAAAATGGATGTGATTTTGACATTCGCTTCAAAACAACAGCGGAAATCGAGATAACAAAACATATGTTTTGTGTCCTACTTTGCAGACGAGGACGTGTATCGGCGTTTTGAAAAGCATAATTATGTTCTTTCATTCATTCATTGCCATGGAAGATGCGTTTACATTGTTTTTTCACTGTTAATAGCTCGGTTAATGCGGCCGGCGATCATCTTGCCGGCAGAAGTTTCATGGAAAAGGAATAAAATGAAAGACTTTTACTACAGATTACGTAATCAGCCACTGCGGTGTGGTGGCTAGGTGTAGTCGCGTCGAGTCGTAGGTGCTGGGTTCGAATCCTACCGAATTATTTATTCCTACTTTCTTTTTTTTCCCGTTTCTTTGTGTTGTTGTTTTCTATAAATATATAGCTAAATAACTGTTACCTAATAAAGTGTAACAAACAGCAAGAAAAGTATTGTGTTTCGAGAGAAAATATCGTGCACCGTATATTAAATATATGGATAAACAATCTGAATTTCTATTATTTCCTACAATTTACTGTGGGAAAACCAGAGTTGATAACCACTTGATCATTTTCTAAACAACGTTCCCACGAGTTCTTTCTATAGACTGATAGTAATTATTCTAATACTTTCCAACATGTAAATAGCCCATTCAATGTCATTTTCGATTCTTTTAAGTCTCACTGCCCAACTAATGCCAGTATCAACAGAATGTGCCGCAGCATTACTATCTTTTAGATACCCTAGTTCATATTCTTTTTTAAGCAAGGTGAAGATGTCATTGCTGCAGAGCGACCGAAGGGAGCGAGCAGCAACATAATCAGGATTTAAAGGAAATATATAAGGGACGACGAATTCTCAAATTCATCACTTTTTACCACAATGCATTGCATTTAACCACACTTTTAACCACAATGCATTGCATTTAACCAGAGTGCATTGCGCCACGAACAACTCAAATAAAAACACCAGGAAGTTTGGTGGGTGAGAGAGTGCATCGTTCGCTGCTCAGACTTAGAGTTTTCTTTTTGGCAAATTTTTTACAGCACGGTTAGAGGTCTTACCAAATTTTAAGACACGAAGGAGTCTTTCAGATGAGTACGATGGTTAACTTGGGGATTGGATTTCAATTCAAGAGCCTTTGACTCGTCCAGGTGTTAAACCTGACTAGAAGATGAGCATTTGCTCTTCGACTCCGCAACACGGGGGATATACAAATTTCAGCTTTCTAGAAGGTGATGTGAAAGTGAGAAAATGTCATGCAGTGCTATTCTTAAGAAACTGTATGAGCCGAAAATGGATGTGATTTTGACCATTCGCTTCAAAATAACAGCAGAAATCGAGATAACAAAACGTATGTTTTGTGTCCTACTTTGCAGACGAGGACGTGTATCGGCGTTTTGAAAAGCATAATTATGTTCTTTCATTCATTGATTGCCATAGAATATGCGTTTACATTGTTTTTTCACTGTTAATAGCTCGGTTAATGTGGCTGGCGATCATCTTGCCGGCGGAAGTTTCATGGAAAAGGAATAAACCAAGACTTTTCTTAAAGATTACGTAAGCAGCCTCTGTGGTGTAGTGGTTAGGTGTAGTCGCGTCGAGCCGAAGGTGCAGGGTTCGAGTCCTACCGAATTCTATATTCCTTCTTTCTTTTTTTTTTGCGTTTTTTGTGTTGTTGTTTTCTATAAATATATAGCTAAATAACTGTTACTTAATAAAGTGCAAAAAACAGCAAGAAAAGTATTGTGTTTCCAGAGAAAATATCGTGCACCGTATATTAAATATATGGATAAACAATCTGAATTTCTATTATTTCCTACAATTTACTGTGGGAAAA